CAACGGGTGGGAAAATTCAGTTTCTGAAATATATAATGAGTTGGGCTGTTAGGTGGCCTCAGAGGGTCACCTTCTTGTTCAACAATGAAACAGATCACTGTCCCAAGCACTTCTCTTGACCTTGCTCTTCGGCAGTAGCACAGCGGATTCAGAGGCAGCAGTGAATGGGCTCAGCAAGGTCAAAAGAGGACAGTCTGTCCAGTGCTGTGATGCCTCAGGATAAGGGACAAAGTGGGGACAAGACATAAATGGGGAGAGGAGGGAGGAGTGGGGACCAGTCGACTGCTAACAGGAAGGTGCCAGCGGCAGTTTCCTGGGCTTATACTCACTCACGAGTCGGTTGTAGGTGAGGAACCCAGGCCCATGTTGTTTGCACGTGGAACTCAAGTGCACAGAACACAGGATTTGCCCTTTGTGGCAGCATATGTTGAGACACACCGGGCACCCTGCCTGGAAAAGCGTGCTCCTAGTGCAGGCTGCTGCTGCCTGCTGAGCCAGCAGAGCTGTTCCCCTGTGAAGGCCCGTCCCCAACACTCAGCAGCTGATGCCACGTCAACCAAAACCCAACCCAGAGGCACCGCACTGAGAAGGAGATTACTCATTCCTGGGCTCCACTCTACTCCCAAATACCCAGATGCCCTGTTGGGATCTGCACAATTGCTATCTTCAACCTTGCAATAATCTACAGTTCACCAGCTCTGTGGGTGAAGAAAACTCAAGCATTTTCTACTGGCTAGCCCAGTCACATGTGTAGACCAGACACAGAGTCCTTCTGCCTGATTTCAGAGGACTTAATCAGATTTCTTCAACATTGCAAGTACAGGGAGAACGGGTGGACCTTAGGTCAGACTGCTTTAAAGGACCCTGCTGTGACACTGGGTGACAATGTACCTCGGGTAAGTCCTTCCTTCTGTGGGCCTCAGCTTATCGATCTGTTAAACAGAATCAATAATAATGCCGATTATATAAATCCTTAGATAGATTAGGTGGGAAAAAAACTAAATAGGCATAAGGAAAATGCTCCATAGACATTAGTTATAATTATTATGAATATCCCTGTCAAGGTACAAAGTTAGAAGGCTTCTCCAATGCTTCCTGAAGATTTGGGTTATTTATCTAGAAGATGGGGATAATAACAACTGCTTTATCTACCTCCNGCACCCCATCACTACAGTTTTTGTTGTTCATACCCATTTTTCCTTATTCCCGCACCACCAGCTCTCCCCGCAGCACCCTTCCTTGCAATTGTGACCCCGAGCCCAGGCTTCTCTTTCCTTGTTCTGGGGAGGGTGGCACTTCCCAAACTGGCATACTCCCCTTCTGTGCTCTGGGTTGAACTTCTCTTCGTCTATCATGCGGTATAAGCCGACACACAGGATCCCGAATTTATTCAACGAGCCACAGAAGAGTTGTCCAAAGGTATCTCTTGGCTGGGGAGAGAAGAGAAAAGCGTGTCTGCTGGGCACGTAGTCTTGCCGTCCCATGCGGCAGAAGTGCGGAGGACCCGAAAGCCACTTCTGAGTGTCTTTGCAGTGGCAGTCAAGTGGCTAGGTGACTGTGCTTGTGATGAGCTCTGAGACTGTCATCCCAGCGATTGTTCTAGCATTCTAGTTCTTTCTAGAGACTCTGGTGGCTGTGGCGTGTCACGTTGTGCTTGTTCTAACTGCTGGTTGGGTAGCCTCTAAGAATCGACAACGGGCAACGGGTGGGAAAATTCAGTTTCTGAAATATATAATGAGTTGGGCTGTTAGGTGGCCTCA